TTTTGCCCTACTCTTGTATCCATAGCCAAGAAGTGTAGTTCCAACATGAATGAATGTTGGTTGATAGTTTTGTTTACACGAACAAAGAGATAGACAAAACATACTTTTAAGTTTAATCTTCATTATTAACATCTTCCCTCACTGTCTAGATTACATCAAGACAATCTATTAGGCCCTATTTGGTGGCATTTGCTGATTTCCATGGTGGTAAATACCCTCTTCGCGGCCAATTGCAACCTACGAACACAATGTCCGTGAAAGGGGAGCTGGGAAGAGATGCACAGGGGGTGTACATCATTATACGGTATTCACGCCATGCAGATATAAGGATGGAAATAACCTCAAGAGCACAGATAATAGTCAAATGTACTAAAAAATTAGTAAATAACACCATTTTGTTTATATTTATATAATTCAGTTAATTATAAGTTCACGCAACTTCTTGATAACAGCTGTGTTTACTAACCAGCTTGGACATTTCCTGTACACTTAACAATCAGCTCAGGCACACAACTTGCCCGTCTCTTCTCAGCCTCATGGTCCAGCCAGAAAACCCACTCTCCGGTGGAGCCTTCCAAGGTGCACTGCACTTTGTTGATAACTCAGGTTTGAACTCATTTGTGTTACAACAGCCTAATGTCATTATGTTGACTATGTCTGTCTCCTGATAAGCTATCTTAACACCCAGCAGGGGTTTCAGCACCCTGTGACTGCCGAGGAAGCCTTTCTAGAACAAACTGGAGGCTGAGAAGGTGACATTATCACAGGCCTCACCATTTCCAGCAGGAGTCCAGAGAAGGGGACACAGGTGTAAAAACGGGGCAGGGCAAGAGCCTGCATGCCATCCTCCTCTGGGGCCACACATTTCCCAGAAGAAGACCATAAAGAATAGCTGTTTGGGGACAGATTGCAGCCCCTGTCCGGGAACAATCTTATGCCCACAGGACAAAGGTCTTGCTGCCTCAGGACCCAGGAACCTTGGAAAGGAAAACCAGTCTTTCTAAACCAGAGAAGTTAATCTAAAAAGAAACCACTATGAGTCTTCTTTTTTCATCCCAATTAGGGCTTTGCAAACCGTTTTCTATAATGAACGAGGGAAAGAGAGTGGGCCTGGGCCGTCCATTCACACATCCACTGTCTCAACTCTTCTGGAAAGTGATGGGGCACAAACACCCAACCGAACCCCTAGGAGCTTAGATCCCCACCAACCCCCAAGGGGGGAGAATTCCTGAGTGGGGAACTCAAGACCCCACGAAGAAAACATGGCTAGGGAGGAACGAGACTGCTGGCGAATCTCTGAAGCCTTTATAAATGATCACACTGGATATCATAAGACAATAAAAGCAGCCCCCAAATAAAGAGGATACCAACAGCAGCATACATTTATCAACTTAGCACAGACTGGAGCCTGGGCAGGTGATTTTCACTTATCTTGCATCGACAGAACCCGCTCAGCACCCTCCTCCCTAGCAGCTGCAATGAGCTGCCTGCAAATGAGTTGTGAGGACCATACACACAGTACGTCTCTGACTTATACTCCTTGATTTCCACCTGCCTGGGGCCCCTTCTCTCACCAAAACTCCCTCTCTGCTTTGACCCTTAGCTCCCATGAGCCACCAGAGTGCAGTTTTAAAGGATGGGATTCTTTTCTTCACCTTCCTTTATCTTTCCTGGGGCCTGACTGCAAATCCTTCACTCCTGCCCCACCGTCCACTTGCCTTCCTTCCCTCATCATCCCAGTGGGAGAGGCCTGTGATTGACACAGGCAGGTTCCCAGGTTCTCCGGGTTGCACTGGACATCTGCTGCTTTTGCTTGCCCAGTATCCATCCCTGCCCTCCTGAAAACAGAACTTCAATTCTCCTTTGAGGAGCCACTTCTCTCCCACTTCTAATCCACCCATCATTGGCAGGTCAGACCCCGGCTCCAGCTCCAAAGGCACACAAGGCCTGGCTGATCCATGCATTCCCTCTCCGCAGACACAGAGATAGTCAAGGACGGGCAAATGACCCAAGTCATTATAGATTTTGCCAAGCCAAACCAATGAATGACCTTTACTCCTGGGATTTTGCTGGGCCTACTGAGAAAGTAGCCATCTTTCTGCTGGGGTTGCAAAATCAGTAGGAAGATAAAGGAAGCCTGCAGCTGCTCACCACCACTTGGGAGACAGCCTACCTGAGATTTGGAGAAAAACACTCCTAAAGCACGCGGATCCAGACATGCGTGAAGCACACCCTAGACACTCCCATCACATGAGCCAATGAATTAACAGTTTTTTTTTCCTTGGATCAGTTTGAGTGGAGGGTCCCTCATTTGCAACTGCAAGAACCCTGATTTGCACAGGGTTCAGGGAAAGTAAGTAACTTAAGTGTTGGAGAAGCATTTCTATGGGTGTATGTTTGTGCATATAAACAAAACTCACCTATATTCAAAAACCACTTGAGGGAACTTCACTATACCTTTAGCACAGTAAAGACAAAAATACAAGACAGGATCAGGGAAGAGAAGGGACATAACTGTTTGTTCAAATTAAAAAAAAAACCCGGCCTTGGGTTGTTTCCGGCACTTAGGGGCCCTTGCGGCTCTGCACCGCCAGGTCACCACGGTGAGAGGAGCAGGCTTCAGGACGTCAGGGGACTCACCCTCGTCCGTGATGGTGCCACTGCTGGAGCCCCCGCTGCTCTTGGACTGCCGATGGGACGAGGAGGAGGACACTGAGGACTCGGCTGTGTGCGCTTTGGGTGACGGGGAGGGCGTGAGGGTGGGGGAGGTGCTTTTGGAGGTAGTGGAAGTTCCGGACGGAGGCCTTGTGCTGGTCTCCAGTTTCTGCTGAGAAGAGTAAGGCAAATACATAAGCCATCACCTGGAGAGTAGAGATGATGAAAGAGACACCCACAACAGGAACATGGGCGGTATTTGACTCAACACAATGTTTAACCAGGACTAGGAAATCTACTTTTAAAAACATGCAAAGCAGAAACAGCATTATTAAAACAGTTATAGGAAAATCCACCCCTGGAGCAGAGAGACGGGGGTGAGATGCAAAAAGTGGCACATTATGAGTCAGAAAACCCAGGTACTAGTCCCATCCCTACAGCTACTAGCACTGTGTCCTCTGCCACGTCCCCTCACCTCTCTGGGCCTCAGTTAACCAGCTCTAAAGTGTAAGTGCTGCTTACGGATGCACAAAGGCCCTTTCCACTCTCGGTGGTCCTACACCAGTCACTTCCAAACTTCTCATCAAAGAACACTTCTTATTTTTCCCTTTTGTTTGGTGATGTAGCTTTTTTACAAATGCTTTTAACATTGAAATAATTTTAAGACATATAAAAGAGTTGCACAGATAGAACAGAGTTCTCATATACCCCTCACTCAGCTTCTTCTTTTTTTTTTTTATTTCAGCATATTATGGGGGTACAGATGTTTAGGTTACATATGTTGCACTTGCCCTCCCTCCCCCACCCAAGTCCGAGCTTCAAGCGTGTCCATCCCCTGGATGGTGTGCATCGCACTCTTTGTGTATGCATATACTCGTCCCCTCCTCCCCACTCCCTCTCAGCTTCTTCAGACATTAACATCTTACATAACCACAGGACAATCATCAAAACCAAGAGGTTAACGTCAGTGCGACACTGTTAACTACACTAGAGCTTTGACTCAGTTTCACCAGTTGCTCCGCTGATGTCCTGATTCTGGTCTGGGCTCCAAGACCCCACGTTGCATGGAGCTGTCCTACCTCCTTCGCCTCCTCTGATCTGGGACAGCTCCTCAGTCGCCCCTTGTCTTTTGTGACCTTGCCACTTTGAAAGGTCCTGGTCAGGTATTTTGAAGAATGCTCCTCAATTTGGGTTTGCCTTATGCTTTCCCATAATTAGATTTGCTTATGATGTGTGTGACGACTGCCGCAGAGGTGATGTGCCCTTCTCCGGGCATCACACCCGGGGTGTGTGGAACGTGGAATCTGATTTTGGGTGATATTAACCTTGGTCACTTAGTTAAGGTGCTGTCTGCCAGGTTTCTCCATTTTAAAGTTACTATTTTTCCATTTACAATTAATAAATATTTGGGAGGAAATACATTAGGGTAAATATCTTTTTTTTTCCTAGGTTTGGTCCACTAATTTTAGCACTCATTGGTGGATCTCATAGGCAGCGATTATGACCATGGTGTTCCAATGGGTAATTCTCGATTTTGCTCATTCCTTCTGCCTTTATTATTTGGAATGCTTCTGTATGGAAGAGTTGTTATTTCTTTCCCATTTATTTACTCAATCATTTATTCGTATCAGTATGGGTTCAGGATATTTCTCATTCCCTGGGCTATAATCCAATACTATTGTTATTTATGTTGTCGCTCATTGTTCCAGCTTTGGCCATTGGGAGACTTGCAGGCTGGCTCCTGTGTCCCTTCAACATGCCTCTTCTTCTTTTCTTTTCTTTCTTTTTAAAAGCATTCCCTACTTTCTGACACCACAAAATACTTTAGGATCATCTTGTATTTTCAGTAACCCAGTAGAACAAACCACTTTTCCAAGGCCCTCCAAGGTCTCTTTTATCAGAAAATGACGTTTAGAAATGAAAATATGGCCACTAGGCTGCCCACAGCTACTGAGATGTCACTGTTTCTAGGCCCTCTCAGTGGAAAGAGCAAGGAAATACAGGAATGTACACTAAGCCATGTATACACACACAGCCACACTTACTCCCATATCTATCAACTCTGAGTATGTATTTCTTAAAGCATGCATTCGTACTGCTTCAAATAGATAACTCTGACTTTAATCCGCCATCCACGGGGTTCATTCCAGTACTTCCCCTTTGATTCTATCTGACAGGAAAGAACCTGGCTAACAATTGTATTTACTTATTTGTTCAACACTAGTAAATATGTGAAGCGTACATGTATGTAAAAAAAATTATACATATGTAAAGTGGTCTCAGAATTACTAAACCATAGCCTGGTAAGAAAAAAAAATGCATCGACTAGAGTACAGTGCTTGTGTGCAGTACTTTTTGTCTTCACTTTACAGTATCCACTGAACATATGGTTTTCTCCTCCACCACTTACAGCATGCTTACGCCATTCATTTGTAACACGGTTAGATCCTTTGTCATCGCCTGCATGCCATCTTTGGTTACTGGTTGATTTTGTTTTTTAAATATGCATATAATAAAAATAGCTATATACAATTCTGTGGGATTTGACAAACACATAGGGTTGTGTAGCCGACAGAGTACCACAGAACAGCTCCATCATCCCCAAATTCCCGCATGCCAGCCTTTTCTAGTTAATCTCTCCCCCAATCCCAAACCATACAAATAACTGATCTATTTTCCATCCTATAGATATAGAAGAAAAAACAAACTGTTTTTCCTATGTTCTCACCCCACAACAATCAACAGAGAAGGCTTCTGTGACCAAACACGTGGGGATTTTAACCCACACACCAAGCAAGCAATCAATTCTGCAGTGGACACTAGCTGGGTGTCCTCCAATTCAATTCTGACACTAGCTACCTGAAGACAGTGTCAGATCTCAGAGGTTTAGGGCTCAGTCCCACAGGACTACACCCCACTTCAGAACCCAATTAAAAGCTCCAAGTTGTTTTACCTGTGCTTCTGATTGGCTATAAATTAGGACTCCCCTAACCCTCTCCTTGGGTTTTATTAATTTGCTAGAGCAGCTCACAGAACTCAGTTTATAGTTATACTATTATACTACTATACTGTTATACTATTAAGCCGTAAAAAAGAATGAAATCCTGTCATTCATTCCTGGCAACAGGATAGAACTGGAGGACATTCAGTTAAATGAAATACACCAGGAATAGAAAGTGAAACACTGCATGTTCTCACTCATATGTGGAAGCTAAAAAAAAGTTGATCTCATGGAAGTAAAAAGTAGAACAGAGGATACTAGAGGCTGGGAAGGGTAGGAGGAACATAAGGGTAGGGAGAGATTTGTTAAAGGATACAAATTTACAGCTCAATAGGAGGAGTAAGTTCTAGTGTTCTATACCACTGCAGGATAACTATAGTTAATGATTATATATTATATAGTTTCCAATAGCTATTAACAGAAAGAGGATAGTGAATATTCCCAACACAAAGAATGATAAATGCTTGAGATGATGTAGCCAACTAATTACCCTGATCTGATCACTATACATTACATGTATCACAACATCACTACGTACCCCATAAATATGTATAATTATTATGTGTCAATTAAAAAACTAAAAGTATCAAAAAGATATTACAAAGGATACAGATGAAGAAATGCGTAGGGAAAGGTATGGAGAAAGGAGCATGGAGCTTCCACGTCCTCTCTGGGAGCACCACCCTCCAGGAATCTCCATGTGTTCAGCTATTGGAAGCTGTCTGAACACAGTCCTTTTGTGCTTTTAGGGACACTTCATCACATAGGCATGATTGACTAAACCACTGGCCATTGATGATCAGCTTAACCTTCAGCCCCTCTTCCCCTCCCTGGAGGTGACCAGCGCCCATCCAGCAGCTGCCTAGAGGCTTCCAGCCACCAGTCAACTCATTAGCATACAAAAAGACATCGCTGTGGCAATTCCCTGAGCATTTCAGGAGTAGTATGCCAGGAAATGGGGATGAAGACCAAATACGCCTTTCAGAATACCACATATCCCTATAGTTTTGCCTTTTCCATAGTATCATATAAATGGAATCATACGATATGTAGACTTTTGGGTCTGGCTTCTTTCACTCAGCACGATGCCTTCAGGATTTATTCAAGCAATTGCACGTATCAATATTCCACTGCATGAATGTACCATAATTCATTTATCCATTCACCTGCTGAAGAACATTTGGGATGTTTCCAGTTTAGGGTGATTATGAAAAAAATTGCTATAAACATTCACAGATTTTTGTGTGAACAGAAGTTCTGTAAAAATTCACTTGGGTAAATACCTAGGAGTAAGATAGCTGGGTCATATGGTAAGTAAATGTTTAGTTTTATGAGAAAATGCCAATCTTTTCAAGGTGGCTGTACTATTTTACATGCCTACCAGCAACGAATGGGAGTTTTAGTAGTTTCTCATTCTCATCAGCACCTATACCTTTTTTTTTAAAGCCAGTCTAATAGGTATAAAGTATTATCTCAATTACGGGTTTAATTTGCATTTTCCTGTTAACTAATGATGTTGAACCTTTCTTCATATGCTTATATTAGACATCTATATGCCTTTTTTAAGTATCTGTTTAGATATTTTGCCCATTTTAAATTTGTTGTTTATGTTCTTATTGCTCAGTTTTGAGAATTCTTTATTTATTCTGGATAAAAGACCATTGTCAGATATATGATGTGGCTTGTCTTTGTATTTTCTTAATGATGTCTTTTGAAAGGCAAAAGATTTGAGCTTTGATGAAGTCCAATTTGCCAATTTTTTCTTTTAAGGATCATGCTTTTGGTACTGTATTCTTGGCAAATGCAAAGTCATGTAGATTTTCTCCTAGAAGTTTTGTAGTTTTTCATTTTATATTTTGGTCTGTGATCCATTTCAAGTTAATTTTTGCATTAGGTGTGAGGTACACATGGAGATTAATTTTCTTGCATATGGACATCCAATTGCTCCAGAACTCTTCAGTGAAAAGACCACCCTTTCTTCACTGACCTGCCTTTACATCTTTGAAAAGAGAAATCAGCCAACCAGGTTCTCTATTCTGATCCACTGACCTCTGCATCTGTCCTTCACTAATGCTACACTGTAGCTTTATGATAAGTCCTGAAACTAGGTGGTGTGAGTCTTCTTTCTTTTTTGTTTGTTTTGTAATTCTTTTGACTATTGTAATTTC